TCAAATGTTTTCCGTTCACACTACGCCGGAGAAATTTGAAAACGCATCAATCACCGGCCATTTTGGATTTGTGTTTGAGTAATTCTTGGGCACTGGAATATCATGATTGTCGTGACGTCATCGTTTACGGAAAGCTTCGTTTTCAAAATTTTTTCGTCCACACTAAAACGTAAACTCGTCGTTTTCAAATTTCTCCGGTTTGAAAAGCGTTCTCGTGACGGACTAGTGTGGACGGTCGACCTAACCAGAGAAATGAAGCTGCGTTTTTAAATTCCTCCGGCGTAATGTGGACAGGGCTTCAAATACCACATGATCGCTTTGCTAGAATTATTTTTATTTAGTTAACTGGAATCAACATGGAAATAACAAAAGTATCGGCATTTATATAACTCTCGATTCTTAAAGACCAATGGGTTGCGCTTTAAATGAAGAAAAAAGTAGTCGTAAAAACAAGAAACCCATCAGGCGTAGAAAAATTTAGGTTAAGGCCATAATGGTTATGTCCCAGTTATCAGTTTATACGAAATTTTTGCATTTAACGTTATTTGAACTGTTTATTTTCGTAATAAACATTTGGTCTTTTTGAGGGTTTTCCTTGCTTAGATAAAGGCTCGTTTCCAGTACCTCGCGCTAGGATAAGCAGGTGGTTACCTTCGGTGGTGAAACTCTCAAACCCAGTTCCCACTCTGGTGAACACTTGAAACAAGATTGGCAGTGTCAGGTACTTGTTAGCTACCTGTTGAACCTGTATGAATAAATTATAAGGTGAATAAATTATCGGTAATGATAGATGTTTTAGAGTGATTCAACTACACTGTGATTCCTTCAAATCAAAGCAAGAAACTTTTCAGAAATCTTTGTGTGATTAGGGCGCATATAATGGGAATATATCATCACCATGTCCTAGCAGCAATTTACGTGTTTGTAACTATGGCATGCAGCGAACATTTGGTGAAATCCGACCAGCTTGGAGAGCAACGAATCAGAGAATGTCACGGTAGAAACGAAGATTGTTCAGCTGAAGGACAGAAAGGGGGGAAAGACAATATTCTGCTACGTTTACCGCGAATCGAAGGAGTAAAGGTAAATACTAGTATAACTACTTATACTAGAAAATAACGAAAAACCGATCTTGAAACTATGGCTTGCTCAGCTTATATTGAAGCCAGTAACACTAGCAAGTAGCAATTCCTGTTTTATTACTCACTCCTATAATTACTACAGATAGCATAAAGTGATGGTCTGTTAGTTGAATTTTGGCCTCTATGCTAGTCTCTGTAAGCAATCTACCACTGTCGGTCTGTTTATTATTACACTTGGTAACCTTAGTGCTTATATTATTTGGTAACCCTTCAGTGATCAGATCAAGTCATATAAACAATGGGTTAAATACAGGGGTAAAATTTGAAAAGGGATATTTTTCATTTAGGATATGAAGACTAACGAACTTTAGGAAAACAGCTTGCATAAAGAAAAAGCTCTTTGGATAGGAAAAGAGCTAACGCAATGAAACGGTGTAATATAATATACAGCTACCGCCCTCGTCGGAATTAGATGGGACACTATAAAGCGTAAATTGAATTTTAGTTGTTCGATCATCCGTACTCTCTCTTCCTGGACGTGTTCTAAAAACTATTTCTCATCGAAAGACAAACCAACATTCGATTCAAATTTGGCTTTTTCGACATTAATTGGCGAAGGATGTCCAAAATATTGTGATGCAAATCTCACCGTCTAACTCGTGCAGATCGAAGCTTTGGGCTTAAATCTTAAACGTAACAAAAACATTGAATGTATTTGTATAATAAGCTGGGTAAAATAAAGTTTTTTTTAGATTTGTTTCTTTTCCTGCAAAATGTCAGTGTTGATGGTCAACTGCATTGAACCGTGTGAGTTTGGCCACGCGTGAGTAACTTAGATTGATCACAGAGCAGTATAGCAAGTACACGAGCTGATAACTCAGTGTCTTGACTGATCGGTCAAGAAGCACGTATTTCAAATATGTGAAATAAGTGAACCAAGAAGTAAGAAGGGGGATAAAATCATTTTAAAACATGACTACAATGCGAGAAGCCACTCCTTTCCGTTCTGTATCGTTGCTGCGCGATTGAAGTAAAGGGAAAAATGCGAGAGATGAAGGATCCACTCCCGCGTCTTTCGCTTAGAAACTAAGAGAAACCTCTTTGGGTCTATAGCAATCAAATTCCCACGCAATCCTATCGTTGACTTGATTCGAACAAACCTTACATCACTGCTGAGATAGCTTCAATACGTACAAGCATTGTCGAGAAACCTACCAACGTCCTAACATGTCGGTCTCTGTTTTCCGACCAAATAAAATAGCGTATTGATTCTAACCGCACTTCCCCATTTTATCACAAAACTAACACACCATCATTTGATCGTTCCTTCGAGTAGCTTTCTCTGGCAAAGTGTGAACGGGGCCCCTCTCTTCACCAATTACTCGTTCTTTATCTTTTTACTATCTACAACTGCTTTTCTAGGTAGGACATACCCAAGAAATGGAACTAACAAAGGGAAGCAAGCACACTGTGAGAACTCTCAGCTTAAAGCCACCAGTGTTTGGTAAATACTTTTAACAATGTTAGGGCTGAGTATTAAAGATGCCATGAAAACTGAATGCCATGAATGAGGCCAACTTAATAGTGCAGTGAAGTAGTTTTTATCAAGTCGAATTTAGATTCGTCCACCGTAACTATCTTTTGTTATATGGCAAACTGGTCTACGGTGAAAAGGGGAATTCTAACTTGGTTCCCTAACCGCTTCGAATTTTGCAATATGGACCACTAAGACGGACTGCTCGGGAGTTAGTTTCAACGAATTGCTTTTTCAAACAGTACACAAAGGAGAACAGTTTGTTGTTCAGTAGAAATCTTTTTTCCTTCATATTTTGTGGATAATTTGAATTTAACTTTCATGAAAGCGACCTGAGCTGAGAAAAACGTAAATGAGTGTTTACATTGGGAAGCTTTAGTCTCATTCTTGACCTGGCTCGCAAAAAAAAAAAAGCTCGGAACTGATCACAAAAGAAATTTTGACATTTTATTAATAAGAATTTACTTAAGTCCAGGAGAGCATAAAAAGATCGAGGAAACAAGATGGCTTTTTCCACCAATCAGAATCCTCTCCGTCTCAGAAGTGAGCCTGACTGAGACCAAAGTTTACATCAGGACTTTGCTAACTAACACAATGTATCATCATGGTAACAAGCTGGCGTGACAACTTTCGCCGGGCGCTCAACCTGGTTTTCACAATGACAACCGGAATTCATAGTTTTTTAGTTTTTGCGACAAAGTGCGAGGAAACGTCAATTAAAAAATGGGGTCTGGGAGCGCACAAAGCAGTACAAGACATAACTAGCTCTTGTAGTCAATTATAGACTTTTTTGGCTTATCTCTTTATCAAGTTGAAGAGTTCTTTGCTTTAGAACGTCACTAATTAGTTAATGCAAACTTGTTTTACAGAAATTCCAAACTTCTTCACCGATGAAGAGTGCGAAATGATCATAGACTTGGCTCTGGAAAAAGGTATGAGCGAAAGTCCGCCGAGCCAAGACACTGACAAGAGTGCTGACAAAGATCCTTGGGAAGAGAAGATAAAGGCCTGGGACAGAAATAAAAATGGATTTATCGACAAGACAGAAGTAAGGATAGGAAAAGAACTAATTGGCTCATTTTAACACGAACCCTTCATAAACACATCAATAAAATAATAAATTACAATTATTTAGAGAGGAAGCCACATCAGCCTTATTTGGTTTTAATGCGGGTCGTCTATCCTGGTCCAATTGGAATTTGGAGAACCTGGAGAAGATCCCTCGGAGGAAGGCGAGAACCAACAACAAACTCAACCCACATTTGACACCGGGCCGGAAATGAACCCGGGCTGCATTGGTGGCAGGTGAGCGCTGTCACCTGCCCCATTCCTGCTCCCCTTCATAATTAATAGTTGTACTGTTGGGAATATTTGTACACGAATTTCTTTCTTTGATACTCTTAAAATTAACTGACTGACACCTACGGAGAAATACGTACTTTGCGAGTAAAGCGATTTGTCTAAACACATTAATACCAGACACTGACGACTCGTCCGTGTCGATTGACTACCTTTTCCAACTTCTAAATGAGCTGACTTCCACGTACTGACTATAAATAACTGCGTATGTTTCTACATTTCTTTAATTTCTAGGTTCTTAATTTAGCTGGAAAAAGAAATCTTTATTTCACAGAAGATGATGTTCTAGAAATGTGAGTTGATCTGACTTTGTCCCTTTTGGTGATAGCAGTTATAATGTTTTGAAAACCAATAATTTACCAAAAAAAATAATAATTAATCAGTCTATTTAATGTTTGTTTGTTTGTTTGTTTTAATTTCACTTTTTACGAGTTGCTGTTAATTCGACGTGACAATGTTTTTTTATTGAAGGTTTAAAGCTCTAGACTTAGACGAAGACCAAGACGGTACGTAGAAAGTAAACTATCTACCATTTAAAGACATGTTCTAAATACACCTGGTTTTTGTATCATTAGATCATGACTGAAATTTCGGTAAGATCCCGTAATGAGCATAAAAAAGCGCCCGTTCTCAAATTTAGAAGGCTTCTATCGACGCAAGAAAGTTTAATCCCTTTCCCCAAGGTACGCGATAGGGCCAGATCGACGCAAGATAGCGGCAGATAAACCTTAAACGTTATTACGAGACTTTTTATAAATGGAAATAAATTTGCTGCTTGGTAGCTATATAGTGAAAAGGCCTTTACGAACCCTTTTCATTCATTTATTAATGCTCCTCTTGAATGAAATCCAGTACTAATCAATAGCAGGCTAACTAACTCCAGCATTAATTGTTGCTAGTTTTCTCAATCAATTCGCAAGCATCTATTACGAGCATTAGTGTCTAGCCCAAGAAAATAACAAAATAAACGCCTAAAGAGTTCGAACAAGAAAATCTTGAAACATTACTAAAATAAACAGCATCACAACATTTTTTTAAACGTTCGCATGGCATAGTATATTTTCCCCGTCCAAACAACGTGTTTGTTTATCAGAGAGGCCTAGCGCCACCAACATAATCCGAGGGTCGTATTCTCGTGATGCTTGATAAGCTGTTATTTTCCGTGAAACGTGAATTTAAGAAATTATTCTTCGTGACTTGAAGGTTTTGCGTGACTCGTGAAGAACTTGAATTATTAACCGATCGATATTCGTGATTTCACTCACAAAAGAAATTTTGACATTTTATTAATAAGAATTTACTTAAGTCCAGGAGAGCATAAAAAGATCGAGGAAACAAGATGGCTTTTTCCACCAATCAGAATCCTCTCCGTCTCAGAAGTGAGCCTGACTGAGACCAAAGTTTACATCAGGACTTTGCTAACTAACACAATGTATCATCATGGTAACAAGCTGGCGTGACAACTTTCGCCGGGCGCTCAACCTGGTTTTCACAATGACAACCGGAATTCATAGTTTTTTAGTTTTTGCGACAAAGTGCGAGGAAACGTCAATTAAAAAATGGGGTCTGGGAGCGCACAAAGCAGTACAAGACATAACTAGCTCTTGTAGTCAATTATAGACTTTTTTGGCTTATCTCTTTATCAAGTTGAAGAGTTCTTTGCTTTAGAACGTCACTAATTAGTTAATGCAAACTTGTTTTACAGAAATTCCAAACTTCTTCACCGATGAAGAGTGCGAAATGATCATAGACTTGGCTCTGGAAAAAGGTATGAGCGAAAGTCCGCCGAGCCAAGACACTGACAAGAGTGCTGACAAAGATCCTTGGGAAGAGAAGATAAAGGCCTGGGACAGAAATAAAAATGGATTTATCGACAAGACAGAAGTAAGGATAGGAAAAGAACTAATTGGCTCATTTTAACACGAACCCTTCATAAACACATCAATAAAATAATAAATTACAATTATTTAGAGAGGAAGCCACATCAGCCTTATTTGGTTTTAATGCGGGTCGTCTATCCTGGTCCAATTGGAATTTGGAGAACCTGGAGAAGATCCCTCGGAGGAAGGCGAGAACCAACAACAAACTCAACCCACATTTGACACCGGGCCGGAAATGAACCCGGGCTGCATTGGTGGCAGGTGAGCGCTGTCACCTGCCCCATTCCTGCTCCCCTTCATAATTAATAGTTGTACTGTTGGGAATATTTGTACACGAATTTCTTTCTTTGATACTCTTAAAATTAACTGACTGACACCTACGGAGAAATACGTACTTTGCGAGTAAAGCGATTTGTCTAAACACATTAATACCAGACACTGACGACTCGTCCGTGTCGATTGACTACCTTTTCCAACTTCTAAATGAGCTGACTTCCACGTACTGACTATAAATAACTGCGTATGTTTCTACATTTCTTTAATTTCTAGGTTCTTAATTTAGCTGGAAAAAGAAATCTTTATTTCACAGAAGATGATGTTCTAGAAATGTGAGTTGATCTGACTTTGTCCCTTTTGGTGATAGCAGTTATAATGTTTTGAAAACCAATAATTTACCAAAAAAAATAATAATTAATCAGTCTATTTAATGTTTGTTTGTTTGTTTGTTTTAATTTCACTTTTTACGAGTTGCTGTTAATTCGACGTGACAATGTTTTTTTATTGAAGGTTTAAAGCTCTAGACTTAGACGAAGACCAAGACGGTACGTAGAAAGTAAACTATCTACCATTTAAAGACATGTTCTAAATACACCTGGTTTTTGTATCATTAGATCATGACTGAAATTTCGGTAAGATCCCGTAATGAGCATAAAAAAGCGCCCGTTCTCAAATTTAGAAGGCTTCTATCGACGCAAGAAAGTTTAATCCCTTTCCCCAAGGTACGCGATAGGGCCAGATCGACGCAAGATAGCGGCAGATAAACCTTAAACGTTATTACGAGACTTTTTATAAATGGAAATAAATTTGCTGCGTGGTAGCTATATAGTGAAAAGGTCTTTACGACCTTTTTCATTCATTTATTAATGTTCCTCCTGAATGAAATCCAGAACTAATCAATAGCAGGCTAACTAACTCCAGCATTAATTGTTGCCAGTTTTCTCAATCAATTCGCAAGCATCTATTATGAGCATTAGTGTCTAGCCCAAGAAAATAACAAAATAAACGCCTCAAGAGTTCGAACAAGGAAATCTTGAAACATTACTAAAATAAACAGCATCACAACATTTTTTTAAACGTTGGCATGGCACAGTATATTTTCCCCGTCCAAACAAAGAGTTTGTTTATCAGAGAGGCCTAGCGCCAGCAACATAATCCGAGGGTCGTATTCTCGTGATGCTTGATAAGCTGATGTTATTTTCCGTGAAACGTGAATTTAAGAAATTATTCTTCGTGATCCGTGACTTGAAGGTTTTGCGTGACTCGTGAAGAACTTGAATTATTAACCGATCGATATTCGTGATTTCACCACTCGATTCTACGCGATTTTGAGACGCGAGTCCCCTGAATGGTTAGAGTAGTCTGTCGAGAGTGATTTAGGAATGCGATTTGCAATATGGAGCCTTGACCTTAGCCTTTCACGATTTTGCTTTCCGCATACACTTCTTCTAGTGTAAGAGTAGGCTATTAAATAGACTAAATTGCTTG